GTGACATTTGATATTTGATATTTGCATTTCTGAACAGGTCTGGGGGGGGTGGAGATATACAAATCACTAGGGGACAAAACAAGGAATATGCATGCTTACCCTACTTTGAAACAGGGTCACCACTGATCTGAAGAGTCTGGTTTTGTAGTTTTGAAGCAGCTGTGTAACTAGACATGGTCTGCGTGTATGCACCATGCTGGAAAAGATGCTGGGAAACCAAAGGGCCCTAGCCCTATATCTGTCTGCTCTCCTGCGGTGTTGTCTTTGAACACATGAGCTCCCCTTTTTGTGTGTCAGTTGACTTATATTTGTAAAGTAATGGGGTCCTTCATACACATCCTTTTCTCTACCAAGGACCCTCTTTTCATTATTTTCCCCACAGGACCCCATTTCTTGTAAGACTTTGCCTACTAAACAAACAAGATTAGGAAGCTTAATAATGAGCTTGTGCAAGGGGTACTGGAGGCAGGCAAATTATCCAGGAGGCAAATGAGCCTTTGGAGGGCAATTCCATCCCAATAGCAGAAACAATCCCAGTAATAATTCCAGTTGTACTAACTGTGATCATTTATTAGGAGGTTACTGCATGCCAGGCTCTCTATACACATTGTCTGATTGAACCCTTACTGCAGTAGAAGGAAGGGGCCATTATTTCTCCATCTTACAGGTGAGGAAACTGAGGCCAGGGGAGGTAAGGTATTTGTCTGAGGTTACATAGCCATAAGGGTCAGAGGAGGGGCTCAACTCCAGTCTCTCTGACTCCATGGCGTAAGCTCTGAACCTCTAGACTCAACTCCCGTTCAATTCCAGTAGAACAGCAGCACTTGCGTAGGACTCAAGTTCCAAAATCAAGAAGATGTGGAAAGCTACACAGTTACCACTGTCCCTGAAAATCTCGTGAAACCATAAGTGTGGCATGATGCTCACATTACAACTGAGACCAAACACGGAAGCAGCATCATGGACCCACCTCACATCTGTTCTGGGCACACCCTGTTGGCAGGAGGGCAGGCAGAATTGCTGTCCTTTTAAACATCTTTATATTGTATTTTATTTTTCCTTTCCACTTTCTCTTTTTTTCCCTCCTTTTCTTTATTGAATAGATTTAATTGAAATTGCTTATATTAGTTTCTTATTGCTGCTATAACATTACCACAAACTTAATGGCTTAAAACAACACAAATTTATCTTACAGTTTTGAGCTCAGATATCTGAAATGGGTCTCACTGGGCTAAAATCAAGATGTTGGCAGGGCTGTGTTATATCTGGAAGCTCCAGCTCTAGAGGCTGCCCATACTCCTTGGTTCATGGCCCCTCATACTTTCAAGGCCAGGAAACAGCAGCACTCAGACCTGGGCTCCTACTTCCCTGGGCTCCTTCCTTGACTCCCCTGACTCCTTTCACCTGTGCTTATATCAGGCTCACCTGGACCATCCAGGATAATGCTCCCATCTCAAGATCCTTAACTTATGCACACCTCCAATCACTCTTTTGCTGTGTAAGTTCCGGGCATTAGGGTGTGGACATCTTTGGGGAACCTTTTTTGCCTACCACACTGCTAAATTAAATGCATGCACACTGGGGGGGGTGCCTGGGAGGCTCAGTTGTTAAGCATCCAACTCTTGATTTCAGCTCAGAGCCTGATCTCCGGGGTACGGGATCAAGCCACAGTCAGGCTCCATGCTCAGTGGGAAGTCGGCTTGAGATCCTCTCCCTCTCCCTCCCCCTCTTCCCCTTCCCCTGCTTGAGTGTACTCTCTCTCTCTCTAAAATAAATAAATCTGTAAAAAAAACATAGCAAGTGCCCACTGATCTACTATCCAACATTGACTATTGTCAAACATTATGTTTTACATACACATTCTTTCTTTAGAAAATGAAATATTTGTGATTACATGCAAATCTTGCTGACCCATGAGCCACTTTGACTCTGCCCTGCTCAATTTTGGGTTGTTGTGTCACAGAGGTTAAAAAGTGACACTTCGGGCGCCTGGGTGGCTCAGTCATTAGGCGTCTGCCTTCGGCTCAGGTTGTAGTCTCAGGGTCCCGGGATCAAGCCCCGCATCAGGCTCCCTGCTTGGAGGGAAGCCTGCTTCTCCCTCTCCCTCTGCTACTCCCCTGCTTGTGCTCTTTCTCTCTCTGTGTCAAATAAATAAATAAAATCTTAAAAAAAAAGTGACCCTTCTTTTCTTTGTTTCTGCTAAAACTCTGTGAGAAAGTATGTCCTGTGTTGCTAATTCCAAAGTGAAGTGTGAGACCCATAGAGCTGAGATTGGTCAGATGTAGTATTCATAGACCCCAGGCTTTAAAGAATCATAGTGGCCTAGGGAAAATTGGGGAGGATTTCTGGAGTGACCCCTCAGTGAGCTTCGAGCCCCAGTTTTGCCCTTCATGTGTCTAGCGGAAGGCTTCCATGCGGCCACTCAGAGAATTCCATATATTTCTGTGGAGCATGGAATACACTTTGCCCTAAGCCCCAACTCACACTATATAAATCTAAAGGGTGCAGTACTGCACAGACCGGGGAGCAAAGGTCCAGTGCTGGACCTGGGATAGCTGCCTTCCCAGAATTTCTCAGCACCAGGAGTGGGTTACCTGAGAAAGAGCAGGCCCAGGTAGGTCCACATGTTGACAATGAAGGGCACCTGAAGGGGTCAGGGATAGGCAGAAAGAAGCTGCAGGTGATACCTAGGGACTGAGAAAGGGGTCACAAGTAACCATTCAGAGGAGGAGTCTTTGCCCGGTGAAGAGAATTGCAGGGGGCCCCCCTTCCCCCACCTTAGCACGAAGGCTTCAGAAGCAGTGAAGAGAGTGCCCTGTAAGAGAAGATTGGCCAAGCCAGGTGCACCTTCACAGCCAGTAAGGGCACCGTTCAGGCAAGAACTGCCTGCCCTTCACTCTCCTTTCCTTGCTCCAACCCTGATAGCCCCTGCCCACTACAGGGGGTCACCCTGAAGCAGGTCCAAGCCAGGGAATGGAAGAAGCTATCACTTTAAATGAACTTGGACATTATGACTATCACATGGACTCCTTAAAGTAATTACTGAACTGAGGCTTTTTTTAAGTGACAGAAATGACTGGAGGCCTTTTGGTTACCCAGTGGCGGACCTTAGATTTTTATGAGGGGAGAGGGTAGCTTGAAGTACAGAGCAGGTTGAACAAAGCTAGTTTTGGATTATCCCAGACATCCTGCTCAGAGGATGTAATGTTAATGACTATGTATCATCAGGCTCAGAAAAAAGCCTTTGTTCATTTCCAGGTTCTTGTGGAGTGCTCCATACTGGCTTCTCCCTGTACTTGCTCAGGAGCCCTCAAAGTGATTTGGGTTTTCTTGGTGACGTGTCTTTCTTGTAGTGTCTGCCGCTTAAGAATTCTGCTCTTTGTATTTGGTCTTCGGTCTCACTGCCTCGGCTTTCTGTTCATCTGAAGTGTCTTGCGGGGCATGAGCATCAGACGGCTAAACAGGAGGGGTGGCGGGGCTTCGTCACGTAGGGCAGTGATGTTTTCCTGGCTGGGTTCTGGTGACACTGGGAATGCCTTGAAAGCACTCATCATTCATGGGTTTTCAAAATGGCAGTGCCTGGGAACTCACCTACAAGCTGTCCTGATTGCCTTTCCAAATAAGCTGAAGATGAGAGGGCCTTAATACTTGAAGGAAAATAAAAGTGTGCTCACTGCCTTCTCCAGGGACAAGGATTCTCTCTGAGGCACTGTGGATGTGCCTTTGACTGGAGACTTCAGGGAATCACAATGAGGGAGGGACAAGAGAAGGTTCTGATGGTGCTGAGCCCGATCCTTGAAAAGCACGAGGCTCGGCAAGGAAGTGGCAGAACCCATGTTTATATCCAGGCCCATCTGGTGGTAAAGCTTGTTGCCTTTCTCTCACCCTGCTTCCTTGTGTCATAGGATTGGAAGGAAACCTCCAGTATAACTAAACCAATCCTTTTGTTAAGTGAGTGAGGAAACAGAGGCCCAGAGAGACAAGGGATTTCTCCGAGCACCTGGGTGGCTCGTTTGGTTAAGGGTCCACCTCTTGATTTTGGCTCGGGTCATGATCTCAGGGTTGTGAGATGGAGAGCCCTGCATCTAGCTCTGTGCTGGGCGTGGAGCCTGCTTAAGATTCTCTCTCTCCCTCTCCCTCTGCCCCTCTGCCCCACCCCCACCTCTCTCTCTCTCTCTCTCCCTCTCTAAAAAAAAAGAGAGAGAGAAGAGAGGAGATTTCCTGAGTGATTTGCAGGGTCTAGAAACCAGGTCTGCTGATTCTCAGGATGGTGACCTTTCTCCTCTCTCTTGGGCCAGGACGGAGCCACAGCCTTCTTCTTCCCTTCCTTCCTTTACATTTGCATTAGATTTTATGTGAAACAAGCAACACTCCGATATGGGAGGCAGGATGGGAGAGTGAGCAGAGTGTGGAGTTCGCATCAGTGACAGTACCCACAGAATAGTAACAGCCAACAAAGAAATGGCACTTACTGGGTAGTGGGCACTGTTCTAAGAGCTTTACATACAGAAACTCACTCAGTGTTCTAACAACCATAGGCGTTAGGGATGGTTATTATTTCCCTTCCCCAGATGAGGGACCTGAGGCTTGAAGTGCTGCGCTCGGTTATGGAGACAGCCACTTAGGGAGACAAAGACTAAGATTCTGGCCTCCAGGAAATAATCCAGTCCAGTTCAGTCCAGTTCAGTCCAGCCTGGGCCGGCGGACCATGCCCTGGTGCCCGAGAATAGGACTATATCCATTTGGAAAGCATACATTTTGTTTGTTTAACAATCAGCCTTACCCTTGGAGAGCTACACTTTAAGGCCGGTTTGCACAACTACAGAGGTCTTGGCTTCCGGCTCTGACTCCACCCGCTCCGCGGGCTCTGACCCCCCCCCCCCCCCCGCGCGCGCTCCCCCCCCCCCCCGCTCTGCGGGCTTGGGCAAGTTACCTGTGCCCTCCGAGTCTCAGTCTCCTCATTTGTACACTGAGGACAATGATAAATAATCTGTCTGTAGGGCTGTTGTGAAGATCTGATGACTCGAAATGGAACGCTGCCAACTATGCCAATGAATACCGCAATCTTCAAGGCGGACGGGAACTTGCTATCCAGCTGTCTCTCCACCCAAAGCGGAGGCCTCCTCTCTAACCTTCCTACTGAGCGTAGGTATGGTCCATACCTTTGCACTTGTAGTGATAGGGGCACCACGCTTGGTGCTCAGGTTGATTGTGGGCAACCACCAGCAAGCAGTGTTCAATTCTTTTTCGAGGACATGCATGGAAACCCCAGTGAGGGTAGGAATAATAACAGTAGTGACGGTGATTATAACAACGGTGACAACAGTAATCTTACTGAGTGACTGCAATGTGCTATACAAGACTGAATGCGTTGTCTCAATCCTTGTGACAACCCATCGGGTAGGAAATAATTTATGCCTATTCTTTTAAAGATTGATTTGCTTATTTTAGAGCAGGGGAGGGGCGGAGGGAGAGGGAGAGAGAATGTCAAGTAGACTCCGTGCTGAGCGTGGAGCCCGACGTGGGGCTCGATCCCACAACCCTGAGATCATGACCTGAGCCAAAACCAAGAGTCACAAGGCCACCCAGGTGCCCCTATGTCTACTTTTAAGATGAGGAAACTGAAGCTCAGAAAGGTTAAGAAATTTGCTCAAAGCCCCAAAGTCAATATGTGATGTAGAAACAGGAGTAAAACCCAGATTTACTGACTTCAGAACTTCTAACCTCAGTCCTTGGGATTTCGAACTACCCACAGGAAGAGGCCAGACAGGTCATTTGGATGATGCCCCAGGGGGGCAGGTATGACTGTGGTGAACTGTAGACCTCTTGCCCCATTTAAATATGGTAAGTCTTGTCAGCTTCAGCTCATGCTGCTGAGGATAGTGGGAGGAATGCAGATAAAGAGATGCTAAATCTCATTTTGTAAACAAACCCAAGAATTTCAGTATTTTAATGTGAGATATATATATATATATATATATATATATATATATATATATATATATATCATGATTTTAAAATGTTACCTGAAAAATTTTTGAAATTCCTTATGACTTCTCTGACTTCGAAGTGCTATCGCTGTCCTTTAAATGCTTATTGAAATGAGTCTCCTGAGGGCTGTTATTCTGCCCCTTTCTCTCCCATGCAAATTCTCATATTGCAATGGACATGACAGAGAGGGGCTTATTGCCCAGAAAACCCTGCATCCACTCTAAGCGTCTGTTTTGTGAACACTGGTCCTGAACAAGGGAACATGAACCATTACTTAGGACTGGTTGAGGGCCCTACTGCTGGGGTTGAGAATGGGGGCTGGGGCGTGTGTGTGGTGTGTGTATGTGTGTATGAGAGAGATGTGGAGGTGGGTCCTGGGAAGCTGGAGGGGTGGTGGCCAGTGAGGGGAGCAGCTCTTCAGTTGCATTCCCAGGAGGGAGGGAAGGAAGGGAAGCCTAGTGGTTTATAGGATCCCTGCAGCCACCAGGGACACGCCCCTCTCCCTGCTGTAGCCCTGCCAACCCAGGAGAGCAATCTAACCCTTTCTCCAAAATCTCTAGGCAAAACAGATTTCACAAGCTCCCGGAGGAGTACCGTCTCCTGGCCCATGGCCCAGCTTCCAGGCGCTTTCCCAATCCTGCTTGCTGAGCAGTTTAACCTCGAGACCCCTCCTGGACTAATTAAAATAATTGTAAATGTGTCAGTTATGGATTGACTTAAATCATCCCTTAGTCCACAAGAAGGATTTGAGGGGTCTACAAGCGCACAGCAAGGACCATATCCTGAGGAGCTTTCACACGCTTTCGTCACTTAACCCCCACATCCTTGGCTTCCATACCCAGAGCCTGGGGGCCAGGCGACTGGCCCAGGGCACTTAGTGAACAAATGAACAAATGCTGGAGCTGGAAATTCCATACTGGCCTCCTGACTTTGATACTAACGCATCGTTTCCTGTAGTGTTCCACTCTTTCGGAGCAAGGAAGCTTCGTTCTGAAAAACGAGGAGGGTAATGCAGCGGCCCTGTCCCCTCCCCCCAGCAAAATCCGGAGCATCAGCAGTGCACCAGGAATAAAACAAAGCAATCCCAACAGCCCACTTCCCAACCCCTGTTCAGGAACTTCTTCCACAGCTCTTTAACGGCAGGAATTACGGTCCACAGAGGGCCTCTGAGGATATGTTCATACCTCCCACAAACGTTTCAGCCTCTGCCCCATGTCTCCCTAACATTAGATCATAGGCCATCCTGGGCCACCGAGTTGGACTGTTGCATCAGCTGATTTTATAGTTTCTTAGTTTATGTTTTATAGAATTCCCCCTCCCCATAATTGAAGATGTTTGATATGCTTTTAAGATATCAATATAAAGGATTTTTTTTTTTTTTTTTACTTATGTTTTATTTTGCTTCAACTTTCCTGGGTATCTGCAGAGAAAGTTTCCTTTTCCCTTTCGAGTTAAAAAATGTATATAAATCTCTCTGGTATTTATGTTTTCATGATACTTGCAAAATTCCTAGGGATACTTATAAACCCATGTTATAGCAGGGCTATGTTAAGGCAAGGTGGGTAAAGAGATGTTGGCACATGGTTGCTTATATATTGATCTTTAAGGTTTAAAAATATGTATAAATCATATGTGATGCCTCTGATGGAATTCTCAAGTAATGCTTGGCTGGTAGAAACACTGGGATCCTATAGGTGTCACAAAACCTTAATATTTATTAATATTAATATTAATATTTAACAATATTTAAATTGTTCCTATTTTGCAGTGGTGCAAACTGAGTCCTATTACAACCAAATGATCTGTTTTAGGTTACACAATCAGCTGTCTTGACAAAAGCTGGCCAGAACTGTGCAGTCAGGCTAGATGAGGTTTGAGGGTCACTTTCCTGGATGGCGATACATAGCTTTCCTTTCAGACCACTGACTGCTCTCCCAAGCTGGGTTATGTGTCTCTGATAATTTCCATTCTTGAAGAGTAAGGGCCTTTTGTTACGTAATCTTATTTTGGTGGGTAATGTTGGGATGGGGTCTAAATCTCAGCATTTTTGGAACTCGATTAAAAGCTATAAGGTCTCCTTCAAAATTTTCCCAAGGAGGGCATATGTCCCTTATGCAAATAAGACTGTCTCCTCTGAGTTCTCTGGTAAAAGTATCTCATGAGGCAATCAGTCATTGACACTCTAGTGTGTTTTAATTCTCTCTAAAGAGATAGCTCTTTGAGGCTAATACTCTGCAAAGGGGGAGAGGTGGAAGATGGGAGAAAGCAAGCAGATGAGTTCTTTCATCTCTGTGCTATGAAATTCTGTTTATCTTTTAAGATCCCACTCAAATGTCTTTTCTTCCAGAAATCCTTCCTTGATCTCTCTTTATTTTATATATATATATTTAAGATTGTATTTATTTATTTGACAGAGAGAGACACAGCGAGAGAAGGAACACAAGTAGGGGGAGTGGGAGAGGGAGAAGCAGGCTTCCCACGGAGCAGGGAGCCCGATGAGGGGCTCCAACCTGGGATCATGACCTGAGCCAAAGGCAGACGCTTAACGACTGAGCCACCCAGGCGCCCTTTGATCTCTCTTTAGAGAAACTGTTCCCTTCTCCCTTCTCACTGCTTCAGGAAATAATATCTTTTCTCACGTTTTAGCCTCCTACTTCTCATATAATCTCTTCCATACAGGTACTTATTTGTGTGTTCATCTTATAGTCCCCTCCAAAGTGGGAGCTCTAGAGGGCAGAGGATACTTTTAATTCCTTACCCCCATGTACTGTCCAGCTTTGAGAAGGTAAGTTCATCTTCTGACATCTTAAAAACCTGAAATTACTTACAAGTCAGAAGCATGGTGGCCACGTCCTGTTTTGCATGGGCTTTTCTAGCTTCTCGGACATCCTTCTGGAGCGAAGTCTGCACCACTTGGAAGGGAGCCTCCTGCCTCCTTTCCACTCTCTAATTCTAGTGCAGACCCACTGGTCCCCACCCAGGGTACACTGCCTGCCAGCCGGCTCTGGTTTTAGATCACGCAGGGTGGATTTGCAGCTATGATGCTTCCTAGCTTTGTGAACTTGAGCAAGTTACACCATCTCTCTCTTCCATTTTGTCTTTTATAAAACAGGCATAATACTTGCCTCTTACTGCTGTTGTTCTGGAGAATTGTAGATATTACAACTGTAGTACTTAACACAATGCTGTGCACATAGTAATCTCAGTAAGTAGTAGTGATTCATTTTTTTTTTCAATGAGATATAGAACGAAAAATGCTTAAGACAGTGTCTGGCATATATTAAGGGCTGTTAGGGCTGTGTGTAAGCTGTCATTTTTATTCTTGTTTTAGGAAAGCAATAAAATGTAGTTATAAAGAGCAAGAGCTTTGGAATCTGCTTTGAGTGAAATCCCTGCTCTGCTAATCGCTAGCTAACGCATCCCAGAAAAATTACTTAATACTTCTGAGATCAGATCCCTCATCCCTAAAATGGGGGATAATGCTACCCTACAGAATTACGATGATTTAGGAAAAAAAATTCAAAAGTTGTGGCAGACTGTATTTACCAAAGATGGCCACAATATTATCTCTCTTCTAGAGCCTTGCCAACTGCCCCTCCATGTCCTGTGCCCCCATTTATAGCTGGGGTCTGATTTCCCCTTTGAATTCGGGTGGGCTTGAGGATTGCTTGTCATCAATAGAATGCAGCCGTTGTGTTGCTGGGTGACTTCCTGGGTTAGGCTATAAAATGCCATGCTCGGTCCACCTTGTTAGTTGTCACTTGTCTCTGGATCCCTGGGCTGTCACTTAAGAAGTCCACCATGGGATGAAAGAGTACAGGACACATGTAAGTGTCCTGTCAATGGTCCCAACTGAGGTCCCACCCAACGGCCAGTATCAACTGCAAGGGTATGGAGATAAGGTGTTTCCAGATGATTTTAGCCTTTGAGCCTTCCCAGGTGAGGACCCAGACATCGTGACCACGGAGTAGAGACAAGCTATTTCCGCTTGACCTACCAGTGGTTTGAGCTGTGAATTTTGGGGTAATTTGTTGTACAGCAATAGCTGTTGGAACAGGACTCTAATAAAGTGCTAGTACCTAGTAAAAAACAGACAAGAGGAAGGAGGAGGAGTTATTAGAGCAATTATTAGAATTACTGCTATCGTGGGGGTACGTCCACCCAAGGGACCATAAGCGTGCCCACCAGCTGCCAAGCAAACTCCTCCTCTCAGGCTTCTGCCCCGCCCACCAGCCTCTCAGCCAATGAGAGCCCAGCCTCTGAGCCGCTCCATACCCGCTCTCCAAGGTCGTGCTGGCAAAAGAGTTGAAGTGGTCACAGGCCGCGGGGATGTTGGGGGTCCTTCTTCCTTGTTGGCGCACAGAAGGGCTCTGGGCTCAGCTGCTTTTGTGTAGGGCCGCCGGCCTTGC